TTTGAATTAAATGTGTTTCTTGTATGCAGCATATTGTTGGATTTTGGCTCTTGATCCACTCTGCCAGTCTGTCTCTTGACTGGTGAATTGAGACTATTAACGTTGATGGTTATAACTAAAATGTATTAACTTATCCTTTTCATGTTATTTTTCTGTTACTTTCCTCTTTTTTTTCCCCCTCCTTCTAATTGTTTACCTTCCTTGGTGGATTCCTTCTATTGGGGTTCATAGAGTATAGTGCTTATTATCATTTTCTAGAATGTCCTTCGGAACATTTTGGAGTGCTGGTTTGGTGGTCATAAATTTCCTCAGATATTCTTTGTCATGGAAGTATCTTATTTCTTTATCAATTTTGAAAGATAGTTTTGCAGGGTACATCAATCTGGGTTAAAAGTTGTTTTCCTTTAAAACTTGAAGTACTTCATTCTAAGCTCTCCTTGACTTGTAAGTTTGTGTTGAGAAGTGAACTGTGATTCTGATGGGCTTCCTTTATAGGTGATTTGTTTTCTCTAACAACTTTTAGGATTCTATTATGTTAGAGTTCTGGAATCTTTTATTTTTATTTTTTATTTTTTTGGTACTGGGGATCAAACTCATGACCTCGCACTTGCCAGGCAAGTGCTTATGCTGCTGAGCTAAATCCCCAGCCCTAGATTTCTGGAATCTGGACTATGATCTGTCTAGCTATAATTTTTTTTTTTTATCACAGCTAATTGGAGTTCTATATGCCTTATTTATCTGTATCAGTTTTTTTCTCTATCAGGAAAGTTTTCTGTCACAATGTCTGTGAACATATTTTTAATGTCATTTATGGTATATCCTGCTTGTTCATTAACTCCCATTATTATTCTTTGTCTCATCTAGTAGCTCCTGGATTGTTTTCTCATGTTCCCTTACTAGTTTTGAGAAATCTTTTTTTTCTTGGTTACTAACCGCGAACCTGTCTTCAATATCTGAGATCCTGTCTTCACGTTGGCCTACTCCGATTCCAATACTTTCAAGGGAGTTTTATTCTCCTGGATATCTGCTTGAATCTGCTTTATGGATTCTATTTCTTATGCTGATCTTCCATAATTTTCTTAAGCTTGTCTTTTTTTGTCTGTGTCTGCTCTTATGTTGCTAAGCACGGTGTATATTTTGGTAATCTCCGTAGTTATCTCAGCGATTATTTCTGATTTCATTTTTCTCACAGTCTCATTCTTTTGCTTTGTTGCTTCCACTTTAGAGAGACTTGGTGAGGGGCTTTCTCTCTCTTTTTAGTTTAATTCCTGGGCTGCTTATAAATTGCCTGTGGTAGGTTGCTTTATTGTTAGAATTTAGGACCCTTAGGTGATGATTACTTCTCTGAGGTATCTTCTAGATGTGGCTGATTTTTGAGTTTTGAGTCTGTTGTAAGATTTTAACCTCTTCAGTTTGTTGGAGATGAGAAGTTGTGCTTGTTTGGCCTGGTCCATGGTTTTTTGGCACTGTACCACCATATTTCCTGTGACCCTTAGTTAATCTCAGTCCTGGACTACCAGGACCAATAGCTGGAACAATTATGTCAATTTTGGCTGTAGTGGTACCAATAGTATCATCCCTATAAGTTTCATCTCTGGTACCAAAAAAAAAAAAAAAGGAAGACAGAAAGAAAGAAAGGAAACAACAAACTGAACTAACCCTTAATTTGCAACTTTTAACTATATGAACTAGATTTGTGGTTGTGTAACAAAATGCAAAACAAACCAGATACTTAAATGCCACATATAAGTCTATAATGTATCAATTTTACCCTTATGGTTCAAATTTAAAATGGGTTAAGGAGAAAATAGAGAAGACAAAGAGATGATAGTTAAACCAGGAGGATAAATGGGGATCACTCTAACTTGAAGAACCTGAAGGCCAAGAGATGAAAGAGATGAAAAGAACAGAACAGAACAACACCCACAAAGAGGTTAGGAACCACTTTCACACTCATACACAAACAAGGAGAAAGAGGGAAAAAAATGAAGAAGAAACAGTTCACTTTTTGGATTCTCTGGGTTCACTAGTAGACCACCTGTGGACACAGAGTCCTGAACCATGCCAGTCTATCCCAGCAAGCCAGCAGTTGCTTTATGGTGGAGTAGTGGATAATTTCACCAGACCTGCCCTGAGACCAGACTTGGGCTTGCTGTCATGCAAGCAATTTCCATTGGTCTGCGCCCAGGTGGGACCTATTAGATGAAGCTGGCAAAAGTTCTGGATTCTGAGCTTATCTCCAAAATGGCTCTTAGCTAATCGCTCTCTCCCCATGGGAAAACTAAGTCCTCTGTACTCACCATCAGCCAGTGCAGGCCTCCATGTCCACTGTTACCCTCCACTGCTGCATCTCTCTGCAGAGGCCTCCATGGTCAGTCATCCCCATCACCATGACCATGTGTCCCCAGATTCAAGCAGCTCCTCTTGTGCCGTGAAACCCGTTTCAGCGTGAAGGCACCTCCAGCTACTGCCTTCTTCCTCGAAGCTTTGCTTTTTACTCTCTCTGTGGGCTTCAGTTCGCATTTCAGATTCTCCCTGAATCCAAAGGACCCACTCACTTTCTTCTTGTCTTCCTCACGGTGCTTTATTCCAGCATCTAGATGGTGACTGTCAGAGAGGCTGTTATTTTCTGTAGGTATGTACTGGAATTTGCCATGAACTGCAGTACATGTGCATGGTAGATAGTGTGTGGTGGAAGACCGGCATAAAGATGGAGGAGATGTACCTTTTTTTTTTTTTATTAGAGAGACAAGGTATTGGTACTTCACTTAAATGGGTCAACCTCCCAGAGTGCTGGGATAACAGGCCTGCACCACTACAGTGGGCTAGAAAAAGGCCTTTTTGAGGGAAGAAATGTATCATCTCAGGGCTGTTGCATGGTTATCTGATCCTGGCCCAGCAAGGACATCAGAAAGAATACCAAATAGAAACCTAAACTTGCTAGATATAGTGGTACAATCCTGAAATGCAAGCTAAATGGGAGGCTGAGGCAGGGGATCACAAAGTCCAGCCTGGGTTACTTGATGAGATTTTATCTCAAAATAAATTGCCTTTCATGTATGAAGCCCTGGGTTCAGTCTTCAGAACCACACACACACACACATACACAATGTAAATGATTGGCAAGGGTAAGGGACCAATGTTAGAGGCAAACTGTGGAAGAGAAACAATGAGAGGAGGCAGTTTAGAAACAGTCTATGAAACTGAAGTGTTTTATTTATTCTAGCACAACTTCTTGAACTTTAGATCATATGCCAGCTATGCTGTAAGTGCAGAAGACACACACTTTTGGAGTAGTCAGGAGGACATGCTGGTGAAAATGGGAAACAGTTAAAAGAAAAAGTGAGCATGTGTGCTTTGGGAGAATGTGCAGAGTGCCTCAGGAGGAACGAACTAACTGGTATTCCATTGGTGTTTGAAGACTCAGCTGGGTTTACTTCCATTTGGACTTCCATTTAGCTCTTTCTTATATCAGTGTCTACATTTGCATTTATTCCTGCAGTCATTTAATTGCATGCAGCATGAAACACTGAACTGTCACCTTGAATTTTTCTTTCTAAGCCAGGCAAGGGGGGCACACCCTGGCCTCTTAGAGGCTGATACAGGAAGATTGCAAGTTTAAACCCAGCCTGGATAACCTAAGCAATTTTGCAAGACACTGTCTCAGAAAATAAAAAAGGCTGGTCTGGGAAGCAGCACCATGAGCAGGCTGCCAGCAGACTGGAACAGACAGACCCCAGTCGCTCCCTATGAGTCAGCGTCATTCACAGACCTCGGCTAGAGAGAACAAAACCACACCAGCAAGTAAGCCCAGTCTAGGAAGCAGCAGCATGGGTGGGCCACTGGCAGACTGGAACAGACAGACCCCAGCCCCTTCTGGTGCAGGGGCTGGCAAACAAGAAGTACCAGCACCCCAGCTCCCCACCCTGGTGAAGGGACTGGCTTATCCAGAGAAACACAGACTGTGATGATAGCTATGAAGGTGAAATGCAACTGGATGCCTGTGGTGTTTCAATGTTTCACTACCATTGCAGGCCTAGGGCCGGTGGTCTGATCATAGGTTCAAAGGATAGCAGTACACAGTGTGACATCTAGGGGGGTCTCCTGAGGGTTGCAGCCATTGTTGATTCCTTATGGTCTTGTTTTGAAAGTCCTGTATTGTTGACATTGTTTTGTTGGATTGAGTTTTATTTTCTTTTGTTTGATTATGTTAAATCGTGATAGGAGCAGCGATTTCAAAGATAGCAAGATATATTATGGTAGCAATTTTGGATTTACTAGAGGCTTGTTTTGAAGTCCTTTATTGCATTCATTGTTTTTATCATTTCTGTTTTATTCTGTTGTGTTTGATTTTCACTATATCCAAAGGTATCTGCAGCTATTTTCAAGACAGCAAAAAGTATTATGGTAACTATTATTGATCTCATAATGTTTTGAAGTCTTATATCTTTTACACTGTTTTTTTTTTTTTTTTTAAATAAGGTTTTATTTATTTATTTATTTTTGGCCTTTTGTTTTTGGTACTGGGGATCAAACTCATGACCTTGCACTTGCCAGGAAAGTGCTTATGCTGCTGAGTTACAACCCCTACACTGGTTTGTTTTGATTGGTTTTATCCTCTTTAGAATAAAAAAAAATTTTAATAAAGATAAATAAGGGGTTGGGGATGTAGCTCCAAGAAACACCAAATAAGTAAAATTTCAAAAAAGATTTTCTGTTGTCGTTTAGTCTTTTTTTTTTTTTGTCTTTTTCCTTTTTATCAGTACTGGGGATTGAACTCACGACTGCCTGCTTGCAAGGCAGGTGCTTATGCCGCTGAGCTAAACCTCCAGCCTTGTCGTTTAGTCTTGAAATATTGTTCTTTGGGTTGATCTTTACAAATGAAATTGGTCCTTATGAAAATAAAAGGCGTATGACTTGGAATGTTGCTGTTTCTTCTAGGATTACAGCTATTAAATCATGATGTTCAAGGGTGTACCCTCTTGTTTTTTCCCTTGCAGATACAAAAACTCGAGCTACTGCCAAGAGCCTGTTACCTGTTAAGTGCAAAGAAGTTGATGCTTCCAGAAATCTTCATTCAGAAAGTGATACAAAAACCACCAAACCAAAACGAGAGAATGGGTGAGAGCCAATCACTAGTATCCAGTTAGAATTTCCCGCTGGGGGGCTGGGGATTTAGCTCAGCAGCATAAGCGCCTGCCTTCAAGCAGGCACTCGTGAGCTCGATCCCTGGTACCAATAAAAACGAAAAAGACAAAAAAAAAAAAAAAAAAAAGAATTTCCCGCTGAGGTGGGGATGTAGCTCAATGATAGGATGCTTACCCAGCAGGTAACTATCCCTGGGTTTGATCGCCAACAATGCGAAAAATCAGAAGAAAGAAAAGATTAAAAACAAACACACAGAAGAGAAAGAACATCATGGTGGAAATTGCTGAGTACACTATAGCGTTTGAGGTTGTTTGTGATAGTACAAGCCTGTAATCTTAGTGCTCTGAGAAGCTGAAGCAGGAGTATCTGCTTTGGAGTGCGAACTGAACAACTTAGGTAGGGAGACCCTTTCTCAAAATTAAAAAAAAAAATGAAAGAAGGGTTGGGATTGGAGAGTACCGGGCTCTGCTTGGAGACATGGGTTCCCTTGCAGCATTGCTGAGCTGTGTATCTGTCAGGTTGTTGGTGGGGGGGTCAAAAGGAGAGCCCTTTCCCTACTTTAATTTTTGTTATTTTTTAGACTAGTTCTCTCTCCAGCTCAGGCTGACCTTAAACTGTCAAATCCTCTCCTGCAGCTCTAGAGTTGCTGGGACTGCAGCCATATGCCATTGTGTCTGGCTCCTTTCCTATTAAAAAGCCTTTTTTGAAGTTGGGCATGGTGATGCATGCCAGCAATCAGGAGGCTGAGGCAGGAGGGTTACTTTGAGTTTGAGGCCAACCTTGGTTACATATTGAGATCTTGTATCAAAAAGGGGGGAGGTGCTTTTTTTTGATGCTCTGCTGAAACCCAAGTACAGCCCACAGACTCTCACACCTGTGCTGTGTGTCTCATACATAACCTCTAGTTCTTTCCTCAGAAACTCAAAACTTTGCTTCACCTTACGGCTAAGCATACCAGGGTGTGATTCGCTGATTAGGCTCATTGTTTTTGCTTCTTTAGGCAGACAAAAATTGCAGAGCCCTCCAATAAGAGGAACATCAGAAAGAGGTAAGCATGGGGAAAGTGAAGTGGGCCATGCTTTTAGAGGATTGCAATCCTAGTACATATCAGAATTGTTCTTGGGACTTGTGGAGGGGTTTTTGTAGTCACCTTTAAAAAGTACAGTCATGATTGTTCTTTGTGGGGAGTTGGCACATGTACATAACTCACCTTAATTCATTCTGCACCCCCTTTCCTCCTCCCTCGCTGGTCCTGTTCTCGTGGCGCAGGTTTTATCCAGATCCCCAGGTGGAATTTTCAGTGCTGAGGCACAGCCAGATGCAGGCATTGCCATTGGCAGGGCAAGAGCCAATAGTGCCACCTTCTGGGGTCCCAAATAAGAGCCTTTTTGACTCTTTAGCAAGATTGCTGTTGCTGGCCCAGCAACAGAAGTGGGAAGCTTGTGGGATGGGGTGGCTGCATGTGGTCAGCAGTATCAAGATACTGACCATATCTGGTAGTGGGCAGGGCTAGGGGTATAGCTCAAGGGTGCAGTGTTGGGTCTGGTCTGTGCAAGACCCCAGTACCCCCCCACACACACACACAGGAAGGTTTTAAAGACAGAGTACTAGAAAATAAACTGGGCATGATGGTGTGTGCCTATAATACTAACACTCAGGAGGCTAAGGCAGGACTGTGAATTTAAGCCCAACCTGGGCTACATAGCTAAACCCTGTCCAAAAAAATCTAGCAAGCAAGAACTTCAAAGTGGCTATTTTTTTGTTTGCTCTTTTGGTTTTTTGAGACAGGGCCTTGCTACATATAGTTCAGCCTGGCTTTTAACCCTCTGTGTAGCACAGGTTGGCTTCAGACTTGTGATCCTCCTGCCTCAGCCTCCTGAGTGTTGGGATGACAGGTGTGCACCACTACATTCAGCAATCCTGGCCATTTGCTATAAGCTTACCATGTGTCAGTAGCTGGGCTAAGCTAAGCATTACACGTGGGTTTTTGTTGTTCTCTGTGACAATACTGTGAAATATGAACGTTATTTTAATTCTGGAAATGAGGAAACAACCAGGTGGTACAACTCACTGAAGGTCATATATCACGTAGCATGAGATATGGGTATTATCTTAATTTTAGAAATTCAAATATAGAGCTTCAGAGAGTACATACAGCAGGTTGTTACTGTGTAAGAAAGCCAGGATTGAGACCTGTTTGGGGAGGTCTGTAGTCCACATTCTTTAATTCTTCTGCTTCTCCATGTAAGTACCACTACTGTTACAGCAGCAAGCCATTGAGAGAGCAGAAATCAGAGGAAGAGCTGAAAGACAAGAACCGGCTCCTGGAGACCGCCAACAAGCAGTTGCACCAGAAGTTGATTAAAACTCAGGTAAGAGCTAGATACGGTGGTGTCCACCTGTGATTCCAGGATCCAGGAGGCTAAGGCAGGGTTATGAGTTCCAGGCCAGGCTGGGCTACCCAGTGAGACCCTGTCTCAAATAAAAAAAAGGAAACAAGATACAAACAAACTTAAGTAAGAGACCTTTGTCATCTGTACTTGGAATCAGTGGATGGGAGCAAGCTGCAGGGGCAGAAGGAGATGCAGCCAGGCTTATGCTGTGGGGAGGACAAGCAAGGATACCTAGCATTGGCAGGACTGCTCCTGATGTCTCTCTGTGACGCTCCAACAGGGAGAGCTGAAGGACCTGACCCAGAAGGTGGAGCTGCTGGAGAAGTTTCAGGACAACTGTTTAGCAATTTTGGAAAGCAAAGGCCTCAACCCAGGTGAGAGAACACCTCCCCATAGGTTGGCACCTTCTGTGGGGGCAGCACACATGCCCTTTGTGGGTGACTGACAGCACTGCGTGTGCTGAGGTAGGGAGTACGAGTTGCTTGGCAAAGCCCTAAAGATTTTGGGGAGCTTCTCTTGGTTCTCATGTGATGTTGATTTTTGCCTAGCCAGTAGAATTGCAGGGGATTGCAGAGAAAAAAGCTTTCTCTTACCAAGCACTGTAGGCCGTTCATTTAGGCCAATAGAGCTGACCTGGCAGATAGACTAGAAACACTGTATTCCTCTCAAAGGAGGTGAAGCTTACTGCTAACTTACCCACATGAAGGGTTGAAGAGAGAATGAGGTGAAATCTCAGGACTTCCTAAATCTAGCTAATCAGCAATATCGGGACACCTTAAATGTGACCCCTGGCTAGAGGTGTAGCTCAGTGGTAGAGTGTGTGCTTAGGATACTCCAGAAGGAGTGACCCTCATTCAGACACTGCCTGGAGGGCAGTCAGTGGCAAAGAAGACAATGGAAGGAGAAACTGATTGCCTGAAGACTGAGACAGCCTCAAGGTGAACTGAAGAGCCAGAGATACACAAAAAAGTGCAATTGTGGGTTGTACGGTGTGTTTCTGTGTTTTAGTGTGGGGTCCAGGAATTTAAAAGCACGTGCCCTACCACTGACCTGTGTCCCTAACTCCAGTTTAAGTACTCTTTATAGTTGCCATAAGCATTTTGTATGATTTTACCATGTGTATCAAAGTGTTGTTTTTTGGTTTTGCACTTTGTTTCTGTTTTGTGATCCTGGGGATTAATCCCATGTTCTTTGCACTAAGGTATATCCTTAGACCTGTTTTTGAGACAAAAATCTCACTAAGTTTCCCAGGCGAGGCTCAAATTTGTGATCCTCCTGTCTCAACTTCCCCAGTGCTGAGCTAAGGAGAGCAGAATGAATTTTGGCCACATGCAAGCTTGAAGTGCATGGTGGTGAAATAGTTCCAGCAGGCAGGAGTGGGTGACTCTGCCTAAGACCAGGCACTCAGAGATCCCCCCAGGAGTGTATTCCTGTGTCTGCTCATGGAGGAGGGTCTGCTTTCTTCTGCTTACAGTGTGGTTCCTGAGGAAGCTGACTTTATTGTATCCATCTGTTTTAGGCAGCACCCTGGCGTCACAGCAGGAATCCACTGTGGATCACAAGGACTCTGTGGTAAGGGTGTGGGTGGGAAAAGCGGGGCCAAGTAACATAAGAAGGCCTCTGTTGTGTGCCAGATAACATACTTTCTTTGAAAGGTGGCTTTGTGCTTACAAATATAAATATTCTGAATTGAAAATTTACTACTTTTTTTTTTTTAAGTAGGATCTTCCCATGTAGTTCAGGCTGCCCTTGATCCCACTATACAGCCCAGGCTGGCCTCGAACTTGCAACAATCCTCCTGCCTCAGTCTCCCAAGTGCTGGCATTACAAGCCATGTACCACCATGCCTGACAAAAATGGACTAGTTTAAAAAAATATAATAGAAGGGAAAAACCTATAATTTCAACTACCTGAGAGGCAGAGGGAGACCATTCCTTGAAAGAAAAATTTATAAAGTGCTGGGGATATAACTCAGTAGTAGAGCACTTGCCTAGTGTAGTTCAATTCCCTAGCACTGCAGAAACAAAACTACATGATAGAGTGACCTTCTAGAGCTTTCTGGTGTGTCTATCCTGCACTTTATCAAATTTTTCCTATACTCCTTTGCTGAGAACTGAATGATACAAAGATCCAGTCTAAGTTTGAGTTTACAGGGACTTTTTGCTCCTTCTCTGAAGAAGGAAGATAATATGTTTGACCTGAAAGTCGCTCATACTTGTGTGATCTCTTCAGGAAGATCAGCTATCATAACAGGCCATAGAATAGTACCCGGAAAGCCCTCCTCAGCTCCCTTGAACTATCAGTCATCCTATTTGCAGCTGGCATGTTTTGTTCCCAGACCTGTGTAGCAAAGTGTGTCACAGTGCAACAGCCTGGCTCTTCGTCACTCAATCCACCAAAGAGGTCCTCGAGGGACCTGATAGGGAGCCCTGCATATATTCAGTGTGAGATGACTTAAGTGGGATCCCATCATCTGAGTCAGCACTTGGGTTATATGAATCTTTGTTCATTACAATGTATTTTCCTCTTAGTTGCTATTAGAAACTTTGCAAGACGAGCTGAAGCTATTTAATGAAACTGCCAAGAGACAAATGGAGGAGCTTCAGGTGAGAGGCAGACATCACCCCGAGTGGGATTATCATTCCCTACCTCCTTAGGTAGATTAGAGAAGAATCTTTCTTTCCTATTTTCTGTTTAATAAACTATTTGGAAATAATTGTAGATTTACATAGATAAGATACAGGGCCAGGGATTTAGCTCAGCAGCATAAGCACCTTCCTGGCAAGGGCGAGGTTGTGAGTTCGATCCCTGGTATCAAAAAAAAGAAAAGAAAATACAATTCCCCTAATAGTAACATCTTACACTATCATTGTACATTTTTCCAAACTATGAAAAAAAATTGTTGCATTGTTAACTAAATTCCAAGACTTTATTTGAATTTCACTAATTTTTTTCCACTAATTTCCTTTATCTGTTCCCGAGGACTCTTAGAAAGGTTCCTGTTAAGGGCTAGGGATGCAGCTCAGTGGTAGAGCACTTGCAGAGTGCCTCCCAAGTGTAACTCAAGGCCTTGCTGGGTGACTCTGACAACAGTGCATGCACTGGCCCAGGGAGTACAAGAGTTCCTTGGAGGGGCTGGGGATTTAGCTCAGCGGCATAAGCACCTGCCTTGCAAGCAGGCAGTCGTGAGTTCGATCCCTGGTACCGATAAAAATGAAAAAGACCAAAAAAAAAAAAAAAAAAAAAAAAAGAGTTGCTTGGCAAAGCACTAAAGGTTTTGGGGAGCTTCTCTTGGTTCTCATGTGATGTTGATTTCTGTCTAACCAGTAGAATTTCAGGGGATTGCAGAGAAGAAAGCTTTTCTCTCTGACTGAACACTGTATGCCATTCATTTGGGGCCAATAGAGGTGACCTGGCAGATAGACTAGAAACACCGTGTTCCTCTCAGAAGAGGTGAAGCTTACTGCTAAGTGAGTGCATTTAGGCCTGGGGTTCCATTCCTCACACCACACAAAAAAAGTTCACATTTCCAGGGGATGAGGCATCTTGCAGCTCTGTAGGTTGCTTTACCTTGGCAGGAGAAACCTGTGGAAATCCGTACTATGTCTCAAGGAAGAGAGCTATAGTAAGATTCTTGTATCTGGACTTCTTCTAATCTTGGGGTATTGCGTGGGATTCAGAGCAGTTCATTGCCCTAGTTTAGATACAGGTGTCCGTAGCACACTAAGCCCGCACAGAGTCTAAGGGAACACCATGGCTCTTGGTATTCCTGGGCCTTCCGCAGTGGAGTAGAAGCATAATGTTCTGGTATGGGCATTGTCTATCTGTGAGTCAAGAGTTTCATTTGTGTTTTTGTTTTATTTTGTTTTTCTTTCACAATACCTTTCTTTGCAGACCTTAAAGATAAAGTTGAAGATGAAAGAAGAAGAAAGGATCCAATTCCTAGAACAGCGAACCTTATGTAAACGTCAAGTTACTGATTTTTCAAAAGCCCTGGAAGAAATGGAACAGCTATTAGAAATGTAATAAAAGAAAAGTGGCCAGATGGCCCCTTCTCAAGGATGAACTCAGAGGCCACTTAGGACATCTGCTGAGCCGTGGTTTTCGTGGACTGTGAATCCCCAGAGTGAAAACAGTTTGTGTGATCCGATTAGAGCAGTTTATTGCTGGAATAACAGTTCCTCCTTAAAGCAGGTTTCTTTGCCTTTAGATCGGTCAGCTCTCCTGGGCCTCGCGGTTGGGTAATGGAGGCTTCCAGAGGGGGAGCTGGGAGCTTGACTCTTTAGATGAGACTAAAGCCAGGCATAGTGGTGTACATCTGTGATCCCAGCACTGAGGAGGCTGAGGCAGGCAGAGGATCACTTGAGCTAAGGAGTCAACCTTGCAACATAGCAAGATGCCAGCTGAACAAAACTAAACCAGCTACATGGGAGGACTTGGGTGGTCACATTCAGATTTGTGGAAAGAAACCCTTGGTTATAAATGGAGCACCTTCATCCCAGTGGGAGGTGACACTAAAAAGCCACGCAATGCATTGTGTCCCAAACTGCTTGGGCTCTATTTCATTGTTAAATTATGGACTTGAAGTTGCTTAAAGTTTTTTGGCTTACTAAATGGGATGAAGGTATCAATAAATATACATCTGTAGCTTTTAATCTAAATTGATTGCATTTACTTTTTATTTAAAGTATTTTAAGCTGGCTATGGTGATATACACCTGCAATCCCTGTCCTCAGGAGGCTGAGGCAGGAGGATTACCATGGGTTTGAGGCCAGCCTGAGCTACTTGGCAAGACCCTATCTCAAAAAATAAAATTGCCTGGCATGGTCCTGCATATCAGTAGTCCTAGCAATCAGAATGCCAAAGCAGAAAGATTATCACAAGTTTGAGGCCAGCATTGGCTACATAGCAAGACCCTGACTCAACCCTAAAAAAACAAAAATGAAAAACATCACTGCTTTTGGAATAAATATCTTCACAAATCTAACTGTAACATTGAGGAATGAAAATGGCCTTTTAACCTAAACATGTCAACTACACATGATAGTATGTTCCAGACAATTCTGATTTACCCAGAATGTTTTCTTCTATGAAGTGCACCCCACGATGACCAGCACTTTCCAGTATCCCTGGGTGTCTCCCATTTGTAGCAGCAGATGCCAGGCTCCCACAGGTTGGCGCCAGTCGCCATGTGTTTTTCCCTAGATACCTTGGGTTTGCCTGTCAGCCAGTCCCAGGTCTGGACCCATAGACTGTTAAGTCCTTGACCCAAAATGTACCAAAGTCAAAGCCAAATTTTCTTTCTTAGTCTTGCTTTGGCTATTTCCCACTCTTGGTGGTTTTTGGTTTGGTTTGCTTCAGTTTTTTTTTTTTTTTTTTTTTTTTTTTGAGATAGGTTCTCACTGTGACATCCCGGCCAGCCTCAAATTCATGGCGATCCTCCTGCCTCAGCCTCCCAGTGCTGGAATTACAAGGGTGTACTACTACTATACCCTGCCTTTCTCTATTTTCCTCATTCTTTCTGTACCTGATTTTTCCACCAAAACCTGTGCTACCCTTCAGCATTATTAAGGCTTCTCAGAGCTCCCCAGTGAAACCAAGCACCACACCCACCCTAGTTTAAAGGATTACAATTGGGGGAAAGGATTTGGATAGCGGGTTCCTATGTAGATCTGTTTGGTCTTGAACTGTGTATTCCAGACTTGCCTCAAATTTGCATTGATCCTCCTGTTTCAGCCTCTTGGGTGCTGGGATTACAGGTATGTGCTACCACGCCCAGTAGGGTTATGGTTTTTGCCCTCACGAAATTGGTTATGTTATTGGATAAATCCTTCTAAAAGTGGCTCACCAGTTAAACATTACTGGGTTTTGGGTGGTTTGTCTTTCCTGGAGTTGGAGTCCAGGTTGTTCTCCTATTGAACAAAATAAGCAAAAACAGTGGTAAAGTTTATTTGAAGAAGTAGAAATAAAGAGTGAAAGCGAAATTGGCTCTGCAGAGTGAGCTGGGGCTGAGTAGAAGAAAAGTAAAATAAAATTACACTCTGGCAGCTGGGCATGCTGGCGGGCATCTGTGATTCCAACACTCAAAAGCCAGAGGCAAGATCTGGAGGCCAGCCTGCGCTACAAAGCAAGACCCTGTCTCAAAAAGAAAAAAAATTCACCCTGTAGGAAAGAGGGCAAGCTGTCATGAGAAAAGCTGCAATAGCCTCTCCTCTTGTCTGCTGTGTCTTTTTATGCCATCTACATCACAAGAAGACTCACGAGAATTTCTGCATTGGAGTGGTGCTGACATCAGGTCAAGGCCAGCCCACGGAAAATCTCAAGTTCTTCTGTGCAAGGCTCTGGGGACTGTTCTGTGCATGTGTCCTGCAATCCTGTAACGATCACGCCTTCCTCCCTACCCAGCTTTACCGTGCCCAAATCTGTATTATTTAAGTCTCAATACTTTGAGAAGAATGCTAGTTAAGCAGCTTTCACCAGTGAGAAGGGCTAAATAGGAACTTTGGACCAGGATTTAGCTCAGTGGCATAAGTGCCTGCCTGGCAAGTGTGAGGTCATGAGTTCAATCCCTGGCTCCAAAAAAAAGTAACTTTTGTCCATTTTTAGGATACCCCAAGTTTAAAAGGATTGTTTACTTAAATTTTGTAATTGGTCTTTCCAGCAAAGAAAAAGAGTAACATTTCCTTCTTGGCAGGAAAGGGTGGGAAGCTCTTGGGATCCTTCCTTCCTTGCTAGAGGCCTCATTAATCCTAGAAAATGTGGGGCTGCAGATTTAGCTCAGCGGCATAAGCGCCTGCCTTGCAAGTGTGTGGTCGTGAGTTCGATCCCCCGTACCGATAAAAAAGACAAAAAAAAAAAATTCCTAGAATATGTAACTAGCTAGGTGCCAACCCTACTCTTTTCCAACAGAGAGACCCTATTTGCTTGGGGACTGGTCTCACGAGGCACCTTGGCCCCTGCAAAACTGCCAGGATTTGCACCTTGTTTCTCATTTGGCTTCTACAAAAGATACATGGTGGTGTTCAGGATACTCAAAATGATCAGAGGCCTGAATAAATTTATATATAAACTCAGCAAATGTAGATGTGTACCTTCCACTCTGTTAGATGTTATGAAACAACTCTAGAATGACATTCTTTTAACATTGAGGCCAGCCTGAGCTACAGAGAATTGAGGGAAAGCCTAAACTATGAAGTAAGACTCTGTCTCAAAAAACAAATAACACTCCTAATCTGAGAAAGCTTGCAGCCTATTTGGGGAAACAAAATGTGCAGGTAATAGACCAGTTCCAAAACAAAAGGCCATACTTTTCTAATGGCCAGAGCTCTAGCAGGTAACTGGCTCAGTTTGATTAAAGAAGGTTTGATGAGGAGGCAGACTAATGCCAAAGGAGAGTAATATCTGGAGACTACATAGAAAGTGAGGGGCATTAGGATGGGGGCTATGTAGGAGCGCTGTTTGGATTTGTTCAGAGGGTGCTAGGTGAGAGAATTGGTTCCACCACTTAATGAAGCGCTTTTAACATGCCACATGCAGTGCTGATGTATGCTCCCTATGTAATGTGTTACATCATACAAGCCAGGGTCTCGCTGCGTAGTCCAGTCTGACCTCAGATGGCAATCCTTCTGCCTCAGTGCTGGAATTACAGGCAGCCTGGAAAGTTATGCACTGTTTACTGCTTTCAACAGCTGGAGAAACTTATTGCCCAAGATGAAGCAAACCTCAGAAAAGAGTCTCAGCAAGGGAGTGATGGAGATGAAGGTACAAGGATATGTGTGCCAGGCTAAGGGCTACGGACTTCGATCCCCTTCTGCCAGAGGTTTCCAAACTTCTTACTTCATGGTGCCGTTGGTGTCTATGAGTTGTTATTTTTTAAAACAGAGTCTTTCTGGGTGTGATGTTAAATACCTTAATCCTTGCACTGCAGAGGCTAAGGCAGGAAAACTGAAGCAAATTGTAGGCCAGCCTGGGCTACATGCTGAGTCCAAGGCTGACCTGAATTAATAGAGTGAAATCCTGTCTCAACCCCCCCCAAAAAATTTCTCACTATGTAGCTGACCTCAAATTCACTATATGCCACGGCTAGCCTTGAACTCAGGATCCTGTCTCAGCCTCCCAAGTGCTGAGATTGCAGAGTTATGCCCCTACACCTGGCTTTTTCTGTGTTTTTTAATGATATGCTAAAAGGAATTCCTAATTGTTCTGTTAACTGGTTAGGTCCAAGCAATAGGTATGCAGGCTTAAGAAATAAAACAAGTCTAAAACATTCATGATTGAAAAATACAGAAAACATTTTAAAATATATTACAGTAAAAAAAAGACACACTGCCATTAATGCCCCCCAAATACTCCTCCATTTGAACACATCAATGTCCCTGCCACTTGCAGACCCACTTCACCTTTTGTCTTTACTTGCACTGTTGCGATGCCTCGCTATCCTAAGTTCATACAAAATGTTTACCTTGGGGCTGGGGATTTAGCTCAGTGGCATAAGCACCTGCCTTGCAAGCAGGCGGTCGTGGGTTCGATTCCCGGTACCAATAAAAATGAAAAAGACAAAAAAAAAAATTTACAAAATGTTTACCTTTCATGACCACTGGACTTTGAGAAAGAGCCAGGATTCTCATAGTACCAGATCCAAAGACCAAGGCAAATGAAAATAAGCTTTAATGTTTGTAAAAGCCAGCCTTTCCATTCAGCAGCACTATTCACTGTATTTTTTAAAATCAGCTTCATTAAAACACTCATGAAAGAGACTTCCAGAAATAATGTTTTAGAAAGTGGTCAGAAAATGTAACAAGTATGCTCAAAGGGGGATTACTAGCAATGTGTCCTGACTGTGTATGTGTGTGTGTGTGTGGGGGGGGGGTGACAGGTCTTGCTATATAGTTCAGGCTATCCTTCAATTTGTGGCTATCATCCTACCTCAGCATCCTAGAGCGGTGAGATTACAGATGTGTGCCACCACATCTGGGTGTAATTTTTTAATTTAAACATTCACCTTATATTTTGATTAGTATATGTGTGTGTGTATTTTTTCATTTGGTATGGGGATTGAACCCAAGGCTTTCTCTGAGCTGCATCACTGACTCTTTATTTTTATACAGTGTCTTGCTAAGTTGCCCAGGCTGCTGGGCTTCACTTTATAATCCTCCTCCCTCAGCCAACCAGAGTCCTGGAATTACAAGTGCATGCCTCAATGCCTGGCTTCAAATCTTGACAGCAATGCTATTAATATTCAAAATTTAAACCCTTTAAATTTTAAAGAGTCTCTTTATAATCTTACTGCCAACTTGTCCAGCATCTTCTCTCCCCACCCCAAAACACAGTTCCCTGATTTTATCATGCTTCAAGCATTCCAGTTCCTTCTGAACTGGTAACTCTCAACCTGTACTCTTAGGCTCAAATTAATTTTTTCAAATTAATTTTAAAAGCAACAAAACAAAACAACAAAAATATACTGCAAACCACCTTTGGGACTGAGGATGTGGCTCAGTGATATAGTTTGCATTTAGCATGTTCAAGGTGCTGAGTTGATCCCTAGCTCTGTAAACAAAACCCCTTCCCTGTATTCACCATCAAATTCCTCAAGATTTGTGTTTATTAATTGTTTTCATCCTCTCCAATGGACTTTAAAAACACAAATCAGGCTTCCATAATATAAAAACAAATGGACTGTGTGTGGTGGCACCTGCCTGTAATTCCAGCAGGAGGCAGAGGCAGGCGGATCACCTCCCTTAAAGCCAACCTGAACTACACATAGCGAGACTCTGTCAAAACAACAAATGGCAACACTAATACAAGGCCGCTACGTTAGGCAAATCCATACAAATAGAAGTTATCAAAGGCTGAGGAGGGACAGGCTTGTAGTTTTGTTTGGGAGATGGAAGAGTTTTGAAAATTATTGATGATGATAGTTGCACTGCATTGTGAATACACTGCCACTTTAATGCCCTTCAAACTGTGTCATGGCTTTGGGGTATAGCTCAGTGGTAGAGTGCATAGGACAGGAGAGGTCCTAGGTTTGGTCCTCTGCAATGATTTAAAAAAATAAAAGTTGGGGCTGGGGATTTAGCTCAGCGGCATAAGCGCCTGCCTTGTAAGCAGGCAGTCGTGAGTTCGATCCCCGGTACTGATAAAAAGGAAAAAGACAAAAATAAAATAAAATACAAAATTTAAAAAAAAGTTAAAATGGCAAATATTAGAGCCAGGCATAGTGGCACACATTTGTAATCCCAGCACTCTAGAAAGGTGCAAAGACCTGGCTTCAATCCTTAATGCTGTTACAAAAGACAAAATGGTTGTACAAGTGGGACTTGGTGACCAAGCCCTGTTCTACCGTCACCAGGCTGGCCTGAGAGTTTCCCACGTTTAATGCAGCCCACTGTGTGTGGCAGGCTTGCCAACTGAATCTCAGAAAAAGGATTTTCAGGATCCGTCATGCCAGGAAGAGGCACAAGTAGGGTTTAGTAGGCAAAGAGAATACAGGATGCACCTGAGAGGGTAAAACAGTTGCGCAGTGAAATGAGATGCCTTACAGTTGGAGCTGCCAACATGGGCACCCTTCCTGAGGAGTGACAGCCTGGGAGAAAGTGCTCCCCTCTGCCCCCTTCACTAGACCTGTTGTTTACTTTCTTAACTGGGCCAATTGATGGTCTTTTAGTGGTGCCTCTGGTAGGGAAGCAAAGTAAATTTAGCCAAGGAATGCAGCTCCCTTGGGTGACTTTGGTCAAGTCCTGGAAGTTGTGGTCATCTTACCAATTAGGATTTTTAATTATGATTTTCTTGTCTCCTTTCTACCCATCTTTTATTTCTTATGTCCTACCTCACAGCTACTTGGGAGGCTGAAGCAGAAGGCTGACAAGTTTGAGGCCAGCTTGGGTAATTTAGTAAGATCCCTATCTCAGAATTAGGACTGGGGGATAGTTCAGTGGTAGAGTACTAGTGTAGCCTGCAGTGAAGCTCTGGGATCAATCCCCAGTGCTACAGAAGAAAAAGGGGAGAATTCCATAGCAGAAGAAAATTGTACACCACCTAGCATTATACTGTGTTATGGTTTAGACCTAGAATGGCTTTGGAAAATGACTGGATCATGGGGTTCCCATGCTCATGAGTGGATTCATCTGCTTATAAGTTCAACTGTCTGGCAGTCACTTGGAGGGGGTGACTGGAAGGGCAGATCTCCCTGCATGCCTCCTCCCTTCTTTCTCTGCATTTTGGCTGCCATGGGATTGTAACCGTGCAGTGGATTCACCATACAGTTGTCAAACTCACTGTATATGGCGAGTGAAGGATGGTATAGAGTATACTCTGTGGGGAAAAAAGAGTAGCTACATTTATTGAGGATCATGACCAGGGTGAGGGAAAAGGTCCCAACAGGACAAAAGAGAAAAACCCACATGTGCTTTGGTCTGGGATTACACAGGAAAGTTCCTGGGTGAAACAGAGTGGTATCCTCATCTCCAGTGTGACTGGAGGAGCAGCTGGCTTCTGCTCAGACCCTTTCCCTGTACCATTTCTGCCTGGGAGCCAGCTGACCATACATTGAAAGCATGAATTGAAATAAACTCCTCGGGGCTGGGGGTTTAGCTCAGCAGCATAAGCGCCTGCCTTGCAAGCAGGCAGTCGTGAGTTCGATCCCTGGTACCGATAAAAACGAAAAAGACAAAAAAAAAGAAAAGAAATAAACTCCTCCTTTAACTTGTGGATGTTGGGTACTTTGTCATTGCAACAGAGGATAACTAAATCATACTAAATCCCTGATGATCTTCGATGTACCCAGGGATTTCCAGAGACTGAAGACCTGTGGTGGCAGAGGCCCAAATGCAAAGGCTAAGGCCTCTCCTGAGGCTGCCACCAGCAGGGAGAGTGGAGGCCAGAGGTGCTAGGCCCAACACTGCTGCTGGCAGCAGCAGAGGACATAGAAGGGCAAGACCCAGGGATGTTGGCAGCAGAGTACCCCTAAAAAAAACCAGCCACAGCTGTGGTGAGGCTCTAGGAAAGTGCTAGAGAGCCTACAAGCCTCGACGGCTATGGGACCTATGGGCAGCTAGAAACCTCTGGGGGCTGTAACAGGAGGGACTATAACACCAAGAACTATAACACTAACAGCTAAGAAGGGCTGTCAAAACTTGGAGCTGCAGCACAGGGCTGATAGCCACTGGGACTCATAATAGCCTTGCAGCAGGTGGTCTGATTTTTATTTTACAGATGATTTAAAAGGTCAAAAGATCCAAGCAATGTGCCCCAAATCCCACAGTAAGATAATGGGACTGCAGAGGCTGGGGATTTAGCTCAGGGGCATAAGCGCCTGCCTGGCAAGCGTGAGGTCATGAGTTCGATTCCTGGTACCAAAAAAAAAAAAAAAAAAAAAAGATAATGGGACTGCAAACACCTGTTTCTGTACTCAGGTCACTGTGATCTGTCCAAGGACATGAACTCTTAAGGGCATTGACCCCTCACAGGGGAGGAAAATTGTGCTTGGAGAATGGGATGCAGGCTGAATTCTGCCAGCTCCTCCTCTCCCTCCTCCTCCTCATCCCCCCCTCCCCACCTCCTCAAAAATCATTCTTCTCTTTTTGCCCTGTCACCCAAGAGTGAAAGCTCTGGGCAGTATGTTACATTATTCGTACATATGCAGTTATTTCCTGACAACTTTTTACCATAAAATCCTAATCAAAATCGACACACCCTGTTTTGCAGTGTAGGAAACTACTTACACCAACGTGCACAGTAGAGTGACCGCTACAGCCCCAATTAACTCTTGCAAATTTGCTTATCCAATTTATTCACATATACTGTGCCTTGGGACAGTTAGCTTCCCTTTAATACTTGGCTTTCCCACAGAGAGAGAGTTCTGCAATTAAGAGCTGCTGTTTTCAATGCAGGGAGATACTATATTACCCATCAAGAGAAAAGACCCAAAGAAATATCTAACCACGGGAGGACATAGGCTGACTTACAGTCCCCTACTTGCACAGTGTCTGGGTTTCCGAACTGCAGTCTACGAGAGGTCACCGCTGATTGGCTTGTGCGGAGGCCAAAATCCTGCCTTCCGCACACCGCGAAAGGTGAATGGCCACTGGAGACCCACCCCTCTCTCCGATTGGACAGAGGGCGGATTTTTACGGTGGTGGAAAGGATGGCTTAAATTGCACCTCTGGATTCCCGAGCAAGGCAGAAATGGCGACTGCCGCTCGGCTTCTACGTCGGCATGTGTCGAGCTGGAGGCTGCAGCCACTGCTGCCGCCCATTGCCTGCCTGGTTTCCCGGCGTGCCCACTCGCTTTTGCCTGTGGACGATGCGATCAACGGGCTAAGCGAGGAGCAGAAGCAGGTAAGGAGACTCTTCCTGTCCCGGACCCCAAAGCTTCCTCCGTAAAGCCCAGCCATGTTCACCGCCCTTGGGAACGAGACTTGGCCTGGAGACTGATTGGGCTGCCTGGGCGATTATTCAGGCATGTTCTTGTGACTCTTTGAAACCACAATGTATTTGGATCGTAGACAGCAGAGATAAAGTTCAGGCTTCCATCGAAGTTCTATCTTTCCCGCTAAGGGATTCTGTAGCCCCTTAAGGTCTTTTAGCCTAAAGCTCAGGGTTAGTAAAGAGCCTGACCGGTGTGGAGACCCGGTGGAAGCATGAGTGGAGCTCTGCGAGGTGTGGGGAACAGATGCCACCTTGAAGCCCCGGAGGCCACCTCCTGCAGGCCTTGGGCCTGGGAAAGGAGCCTATTTTATTCTGAGTATGATGAAAAGAGATGGGGTGGCTTTCTATTGAAGAGTGGCATTTAAAAAAAAGTCATCTTCAGTACTGGAAAGGCATTTTTTAAAATCATCAAGCTGTCTAAACTGAAATTTTTAAAAAGGACTTCTTACTCTGAGGAAACATAAACTATTAAAGTCTTGAGTTTTGGTCCGTGCAGTTTGGTGAGATCACGTGTGTCATGATTCCCTAACTTCGTCCTCAGGAGTGGTAGCTTGATTTCAGCGCTGTCTGCCCACCTCTCTCCTTCTAGCTTCGTCAGACCATGGCTAAGTTCCTTCAAGAACATTTGGCTCCCAAGGCCCAGGAGATTGATCAGAGCAATGAGTTCAAGGACCTTCGAGTGAGTCTTAAAGCCCGGGTTGGGGGCAGCTGTGAGCTGGGGTTGATTTGCACTGTTGCCTGAAAGAGTTAACATCATCTCCTGATAACAAAAACCTCCCAAAGGATGCAGCTCCCCCCTCCGAAGCATGAGGTTCATTGTTCCAGCCAAATGTGCCTAGTTATCTTCTCACAGAGTACCCTCTCCTCCATTCTCTTGACAGGAGTTTTGGAAACAACTTGGGAAGCTGGGAGTATTGGGCATCACAGCCCCAGGTGAGTATAGTTTCTTTCCCTAAAGAAAACTTCTTTGTACACCCTCAGAAATTCTCTGCATACAGCAGCTGTCTGAGGAGGACAGTCTTATGGCTGTTATTCCTAAACTCTGTCCAACAAGTGGCTGGTTGCAGGAAGCTTCAGGGCAGGTGTGTCTCTGCAGGAACTGCCTGAGTCCTCTGTCTCTTTCTGCCTACACCTTGTGTTTAGAACTCTCTTAGGGTAAAATGGGGTAAGAGTAAGGTTTATCTTGGCCTTCAGGGGTGGTAACTAGAAAACAGGTTTAATAGGTTTTTCCTGTCATTCTTCCTACTTAGAAATACTTACTTTCAGGAGAGAGAGCAAGGAGCTAGGAAGCTCTGTTTTGGGTGTCAGCCTCTAGAGGAGTTACCCAATCTTGCTTGCAGTGCCCTCATAAATAGATGAGGCTTCCCTTTGGAGCTAAGCCTGGACACCCCATGCTGCCTGGGCCTCAATTCACTCTGGGCATGAGTAGGGTTGCCCTACTTATAATATAGTTGCCTTTTTTCCTTTCATTACCCCCCTAAACAAGAAAGAATAAAGACTGTTTACCTGATGCGGAAGCAGGAAATGATTTAAAGAGTATAGGAGTTGGGCTTGGTGGTAGATGCCTGTAACCCAACACTGAAGGAGACTGAGGCAGGAGGATCATCATTTAAAGTCTCACCTCAACCACTCTGCAAGACCCTGTCTCAAAATAAAAAGGACGGGGGTGGCAGCTTAGTGCTGGAGCAGCCATGTGTTTGATCCCCATTACCTTTACTTAATTAATTAATTAAGTGATAGGCATAGGTTATATTGAAGATACTATGCCATTTTATATGAGTCTCGAGCATCTTTGGCTTTTGGCTTTTGGAATCTGAAGCAGGAATCTTGCAGCCAATCCCTGAGGATACTGAGAAACTATCTACTATGTTTTGTATCTTTCTCCTTACAGCTTGGAATAGGGTAGTTCTGGAAAGTTGAGCTAATCATAAGTTGCAACATGAGTTAGTTACTTTTTTCTCCTTGTTGAGACAAAATACTCAACTCTTAAAATTAAAAAAGGAAGAGTATTTAGCTCACAGTTTGTGGAGGTTTCAGTATATAATCTACTGGCTTTAAGGCAAAGTGACACATAACCGAGGGCAACAATTCAGGGCTGCAGAAGATAGCCAAAGTGGCAAGGACAAAAGGGAGGAGCAAGCCTGTTTTCCTCCCTTATATTGCGTGCAGGCTACCCACCCTTGGGTGGGCACAGCACTCACAACACCAATCCCAGCACTAGACAATCAATCACAAACTCTAGCTTCGACTATCTCCAAAAAACCTGCCTTTTGTGACTATATGAGGATTTGAGAGAAAATCCAGACACAAACCACAGCATTGAGTAATAATGACATGAAGCCACTTAAAGATGAGTTCAACTGGGTAAGTTGCTACATACTTGTCAGCTCAGGTATTTAAGTTGGCTCTCCCTAAGACGATTCCAGGGTCAAAGCCAACCAAAACTATTTAACAAGATGGAATTTCAAAATGAAATTTTAAAAAATGAGGGCTAGATGGCATATGCCTATAATCCCAGAATTGCGGAGGCTGAGATAAGAGGATTACTGAAAGTTTGAGGCCAGCCTGGGACTGCGTAGTGAGTTCAATGCCAGTCTGAACTATGTTATAAGATCCTGTCTCAAAAATACAGAAAACAACAGAGAACGAGGGCCCCAATGGTAACTGAGGGTACAGCTCAGTGGTAGAGTAGACAATGGCACAGGCTTTATCTCCATTATTGAAAAGAAAAAAATTAGACAACATAATGTAAAATGCTTGTGTGAATTGGGTGTTAGGAACCAAGACTCTTCACTGTGTTTTTGTGCTTTGGGGATTTATGAGCCACTCCTACCCTGGCCAAGAACATGCTTCTGAATCGAGGTTTTTGGTTTTTTTATTTTTGCAGTATGGGACTTTTACACTGAGCTACTTCCCCAGTCCTCTTTTTTATGTTTTATTTTGAGACAGAGTCTTGTCACGTCATTAGGTTGTTTAAGCAGGGCTCAAACTTGTGATCATTCTGCCTTAACTTCCCAGAGTACTGAGACTGCAGGTGTATATCACCATGCCCAGCTTCGTATTATATTTAATAGAAGAAAGAGGCAATTAGAAATCATGCACTTGGTGGAAGAGCATGGACTTAGTATATGAGAAGCTCTGAGTTAGTCCCTAGCACCACATTTTAAAAAATGCAGATAAAACCATATGAAGGGAGATTTTTTGTTTGTTCATTTGTTTGTTTTTTGAGACAGAGTCTCACAATGTAGTTTCAGGCTAAGCTTGAACACACTATGTTGCCTAGGCTTGCCCTTGACAGTAGGTGTCAGTCCATCTGTTACCTAATCACCTCACCTGTTGCTGGTTGCAGTTTAGGTCCAAAGCGATGGTACAAAAATCTCACCTTCCTGAGGTCCTTACACACATTCTTGGCTTTTTTTCTGGTCATGGTGCTTTTGACACAGCCCACAGCTCCACCTTTGTGTTTCGGCTACTCTTTGTTCACTTATTTTCCTCTGCTTTTATAATAGTGTTGTTCAGTGTTTTAGCTAGTTTTCTCTTGTTGCTAAGACAAAATACCCAACAGCCAAAATGAAAGAAAGAGAAGTTTATTTAGCTCACAGTTTGTGGAGGTTTCAGTCCATAATTAGATGACTCTAAGGCAGGGTGACATGGCATGGGGGCAACTGTTTATGGTGGTGGAAAATAGCAAAAGTGGCAAGAGCAAAAGGAGAGGAATGCAGAGACAGACTGTTTCTGTCTCTTATAGTGTATGTAGGCTACCCACCCTGTGGTGGGTGTAGCACTCATACACATAATCTCAGCATTGGACCATGAATAAGTCACAAATTCAAGAGTCCTGTCCCCATGATTGCATGAGGCTTTGGGGAGACATCCAGTCTCAAATGGTGTGGTAGATGGCAACAGTTCATGATGGCAGAAGACAGCAAAAGCAACAAGGACCAAAAGATGAGCATGTAGAGAAAACTCTAACCCTTTTATTTTATGTAGGCTACTCACCCTAGGGTGGGTGTAACACTCACACCCATAATTCTAACATTGGGCCATGAATCAATTGCAAATTCTAAGAGCCTGCTCCCATGACTGCATGAGACTCTGGAGGGACATCCACACACAAACCATAATACTCTGTGTAAGATATTGGGATAAGGCTGGGTGTGGCAATGATTATTTCCTAATGACTGCTTGGCCACCTGCAGCCCCAAGCCAGATTAGCTCTGCAAGCATATAAGGAAATATATGGCAACTGCCTGTTAACCTGGCTGTGAACTTGGAACAGGTGCTAAAGAGTTGGCCATTAACCTGGAGTTCCTCCTGTACCCCAGTATAATCGACTGCCCTTCTTTCTCCTGTACCATTCCTCCCAGTTCAGTATGGTGGCTCTGGCCTGGGCTACCTGGAACACGTGCTGGTGATGGAGGAGATATCGAGAGCTTCTGGATCTGTGGGGCTCAGCTATGGTGCCCACTCCAACCTCTGCCTCAACCAGATTGTGCGCAATGGGAATGAGGCCCAGAAGGAGAAATACCTTCCCAAGGTTAAGTAATGGTCCCAAGGTTGCTTTGACTACAATTTTGTCTGTTTTGTTTGTTTTGTGCATGAAGTCATGGGCTCTACCTGTAGCACTACCAGCCTTGTGGTCCTGGGAGTACCTCACTCTGAGAGAATATGCTGGGAGGCTCATTGCCAGCAGGAATAGGCCATAGGGCAAAGATCGGGGAGGAAGCTGCCAGGGCTGTAACCAAGCTTGTGGTTTTCCCTGTAGCTGATCACTGGTGAGTACATCGGAGCCCTGGCCATGAGCGAGCCCAATGCTGGCTCTGATGTTGTCTCCATGAAGCTGAAAGCAGAAAAGAAAGGTAAGGCCACTGTCAAGTAGGGAGCTGAGAGAAGCAGAAGAACCCTTAGCAGAATGAGGGAGTGATGGGTGGCCCCTGCTGGGTTTCTAGCGTGCTTCTCAACCAGTCAGCTTCTCCTCATGGGAAGGTCTGAGAAGTGGCTTAGACAGGCCAAGCTGGCTTGAACAGGAGGCCACTGTCCTGCCCTTAGGTGATCACTATGTCCTGAATGGCAACAAGTTCTGGATCACCAACGGCCCCGACGCTGATGTCCTCATTGTCTATGCCAAGACAGATCTGGCTGCTGTGCCAGCTTCCCAGGGTATCACGGCCTTCATTGTGGAGAAGGTGAGGGTGACAGGTGGGTGGTTGAGGAGGCTCCTGCGTCCTGGCAGTGAGACTAGAGGTAGCACCTCTCGAATGATCCATGCATTCTACCCAGTGGTATGGGAGAAGTAGAGAGGACTCCTAAGGAGACTGAGAGAAGAGTGACCAAGTCAAGCCCAGCGAGAACGGGTCATGTCTGAAGACGGCATGCAAAGGTTAGGAAGAGGAGGACTGCAAGGAGCCGTTAGCTGTGACAGTCAGAATGTCCTTAATGAGGAGGGTGAAAGACAAAGACAGTCTTGACAACGAAAGCAAGAGAAAGGCAGAACAGGAGTCAGAATTGACACTTGGAAGTTTGGGCTTGTTTTTCAAAATAAACATGGTAGAGTGCTAGGGATGGCATTTAGGGCCTTGTGCTTGCTTGACAAGCAGCCTGCTACTGAGCTACAAGCCAGTACCTGGTAGAGAGCTGAATCAGTGTGGGTTGCAGAGGTCTGCAGTACCCTTCATAGAGAAGCGAAAAACAGTTGGCCAGGACTGACACAAAAGGCTCCTGACCGTGACTAGAAACTTGCAGGTTGTGTTGTGATACCACCCACCCTTGCCAACCCAGAGCCCATCAGCAGCACTGCTGGGTAACTGTCAGCACACACAAAGCATGCAAGTTGCTGAATTCGTCCCTGTCAGGATTCCATTAGGGACAAAGATTGAGGAGGTCAGAGGAAGTGGATATCCTGAGAGTAAGGGCCCTTGGCTCACCACAGTGTGGGTGCCAGGTAGGCACAGGGACCTGATGGTAAGGGGCTTTCCTTTTATCAGACCCTTGGGGAAGCCTAGCCAGGGCCTCCTTTTGTTTCCTGTGAAGGGAATGCCAGGCTTCAGCACCTCCAAGAAACTGGACAAGCTGGGGATGAGGGGCTCTAACACCTGTGAGCTGATCTTTGAAGACTGCAAAGTTCCTGGTAAGCATCTCTGAGAATGGGGAGGCCTCTGCTTTGACTGCTTCACCAGCTAGCTTGGTTGCTCTCTGGTTGCGAGCAATCTCTCCTTACTATGATGTGGGCCTGTCGTGGTGCTGCAGGCTTCCAGCAGGACTGCCTGCCTGCTGGGCAGGGGCAGGGTGTTTCCTCTGTGGATAATACACCACCTGGGGTTTATATTCAAGGAGCTGGGGCAAAAGATCAGAGCTACCCCAGCAGCTTGTGTCCTCCAGAGTTCTTGTACCTTTACCTCTGTGGCCTGTATGTTACACATTAATGATGCTAACAAACCATCTGAGCAAGCTCAGGGAAGGAGAAACAGTGGTTTTGGTAGGAGTGTGTTCTTTCCGGAACTCCAGCTGGAAGTGGACCCCACGCAGCACCATAGGACAGCCGTTACACCCGAGGACACAGCTCTAGTCACCAAATAGGTTTGCTCAGCCACAGATTACTCCTCTCCTCCACAACCCGCCATCCCCAACAGTCCACGGTGGTTAGAAGGATGTCTGTGGGGGGGAACTGAGCAGACTCTTCTTTGTGGAAAGGACCAAAGTCAGCCAGCATGAAAGGCAGGCCGGCAATGTCAAATCTCTGTACTCTGTTTCCTGCCCACACCTCCCAAGGCCATCCATTGTCCAAGCTTCCTAACAGGACAGGTGCTTGCTTGGCAGTTTCGATGACTGGCACTGAATGGCCCAGCTCCTAGACAAAGCGGCTTTCACAGGCCACCCTGTGGGGAGGTGACCCTGGTCCAAAGCAGATAACTGGAGGTGAGCACTTCTGTGGTTCCCATGTGGGTCCAGGTATAGAAAGAACCCGAGAGGAATGGGTAGACTTGTAGACTATAGCTTTTCTACTTTCCATCCGAGGGAGTCCAGGGAGAGCAGAGAAAGATCTAACAGTTTAGGGCTTTGTATCTCGTGTTATAGTTGGTTCGTGGGTTCTGGAAACTCCACTTCAGACTAGAAATGATTAAATGAATCCTTTCTTGTCACCTGAAACCCATTGGAAGGTCAAGTAGCATTTCAGTGCCTCGAGTGAGCATGTCATCAACACCACCCCTTTCTTTTCAGTACTGGGAATTGAACCCACAACCTTCATACTTACCTACATCTCCAGCCCTGTTTACTTTTATTTCCAGACAGGGTCTCACAAAGTCACTAAGTTGCCCAGACTGATTTTCAGCTTGTGATCCTCTTGCCTCAGCTTCCCAGAGTACTGGGATTACAGGTGTCTACCACCACACTCAGCTAAACCTAGTACCCTTTGTAAAAAGTGAAGAAACAGTGGATGTGATGGTGTACACTTGAAATCATAGCACTGTGGGAGGCTGAGGCAGGAGGGTGGCAAGTTCATACCCAGCCTAAGCAATTTAGCCATTTAGTGAGACCCTGTTTCAAAATAAAATTTAAGCCAGGTGTGGTGGCACACCTCTGTAATCCCAGTACTCAGGAGGCTGAGGCAAGAGGATGACTGAGTTCAAGGCCAGCCTGGGCTACAAGCCCAGCCTAAATGACATAATGAAATCCTGTCTCAAAAAACAAAAGCATGTTTTAATTAAAAAATAAAATAAAATTCAAAAAGGAGAGATCAAAATTGTCTTAGTTACTTTCCTGTCATTGGGACAAAATACTGAACACACATAACTTGGAGGCAGAGGGGTTTATTTTTATTCAGGTTTTCGATTCATGGGCAGCTGGCTTCAAAGCAAAAAGGGGCTGGTAGAGGTCTGGACAGACAACAGCTGCTCCTCCCTTGACAGCTGAAAGCAGAAAGTGAGAGGAGCAATCTGCTGGTGGGCATATTGCACCTTCCAGAGGCACAGGGTCTGATCCTGTGAGCCTTTTGGGATGTCCTAGGTCTGAAGCAGGATGGTACTATAGCTGTGTGTCAAGGCCCTTGGTTCAGTCCCCAGGACTGCATAAATAAAAATCAAAAAGAGTGAAGCGGCTGCAGCCCTCTGACCAGCATTCATCCCCTCAGCTGCCAACACCCTGGGCCAGGAGAGCAAGGGCGTCTATGTGCTGATGAGTGGGCTGGACCTGGAACGCCTGGTGCTGGCAGGTGGGCCCCTTGGGTAAGTGTGAGACCGGGTGGACAGAGGCATAGCTGGGGCCCTCTGGGTGAGCACGAAGGATCTGGGAGCCAAGGTCGTTAAGCCTCCTTGGCAGGGATGTGTCTAAAGCAGCAGCAACCTTTCTCCTGGGGCCAAAAGGAGCCACTTCCTGGTCATGACACTCATGGAGATAAAGAAACCCTCTTCCTACGCTGCATTTCTTCACACAGAAGGGAGATGTCATTATCTGACAGAGCAGAGCCAAAGTTCTGCTTGAGGTGGATGTAAAAGAGAGGCCAGGCTCCGGCTCCACAGACCCTGCAGATTCCCACCACTGGCCTTGAAAAGCAGGCACAAGCCGGGCGTGGTGGCTCACGCCTGTAAGTCCAGCACTCAGGAGGCTGAGACAGGAGGATCGTTGCGAGTTGGAGACCAGCCTGGGCTAAAAAGTGAGCTCAAGGCCAGCCTGAACTGCATAGAGAGACCCTGTCTCAAAAAAGACAAAAAAAGCAAGCAGGCGGTCGTGAGTTCGATCCCTAGTACCGATAAAAATGAAAAAGACAAAAAAAAGACAAAAAAAAAAAAAAAAGCAGGCACAGTGTGGGCTGCCGGCACTGTGCCCGGCAGCGCAGCAGGTGTTTCTCAAGCTGCCTTCCTCTTCCACTTCCTTATCTTGTAGAGCTTTCGTTCCAGGCCTTTGTCTGGCATGCTGCCACCCTGCTTGGCATCTGTGGGACAGTGGCATCTCCTTTCTGGCAGGTTGATGCAAGCCGTCCTTGATCACACCATTCCTTACCTGCACATGAGGGAAGCCTTTGGCCAGAAGATCGGGCACTTTCAGGCCAGTGGACTACTCTGCTTTTTCCTCAGCCTGGGGTTTCGTACCATGGGTGGGTAGGGGCAGGGCCCACACTGCGAGCATGGAACGCCTGTATGTAGCACAACGCGCTTAAATGCTGAGAGCGCCGGCTGCTTGCACATGCAGCCTGGCTTTGGAAGTTTTCAGGCTGCGCATCCCTTTGCCCCATCATTTCTATTTGAGGTACATGAACCAGATGTGGGAGGCTGGAGGTGACAAGTGCACTTTGTCGGGGGCTTAGGGGAAGAGCAGTGGCATCTCTAGTCTGACCCTATTGATCTGAAGGAGCTGCAGAAAGTTCATGCAAGTTGAGGCAGATACATAGTGCCTTTCAGACACAGCGAGGGCTGTTCCGGGGTGCAGTGTCCCCAGGGGAGCAGCAGTTCTCTGCCCCCCACCAGCTCCCATTTCTGCTATCCTGGGCAAGTCCCCTCTTCTCTGTGTGTTGCTTCCCATTCTGGGCTGCCAGGTGCTACTGCTGGCCTAGCTTTTGACCCCCAGAAGGAACATCCCTGTTGACTTTGACCTCCTTTTGTGCCCAGCTGATGCAGGGAAAGATGGCTGACATGTACACCCGTCTCATGGCGAGTCGGCAGTACGTCTACAACGTAGCCAGGGCCTGCGATGAGGGTCACTGCACTCCCAAGGTGAGGGTCAGCCCAAAGGGTGGCGGCTGGGACTGTGCTGCATGCCCAGTGGGACCTGCTGACCCGGCCTCCTCCCCAGGACTGTGCCGGGGTAATTCTCTACTCAGCTGAGTGCGCCACACAGGTGGCCCTGGATGGCATCCAGTGCTTGGGTGAGTGCCCCACACCCTCCTTTGGGAGCTGCCCCTGTGCCTGTGCCAGCCTCAGCTGAGCTGGCCACAAACTCTTGGTCCCCCAGTTAGGAGAAAACAGAAAAGTCCTTGAGAAAACTTGTAGGGGCCACAAGTTGCTATTACCTTTTTCCAAAAAACTAAGTTTGTAATACATAATAATTACATTCATCTTGGGGAGCTGGGCATGGTGGCACACACCTGTAACCCTAGCACGTGGAGGCAGAGGCAGAAAATTGCTGTGAATTCAGCCGATTGCACAGTAAAACCCTATTTCAAAAAGAGAAAAATAACAACATTCATCCTGGGGATATAGATATCCCCAGGGGAATATCTGGGGGCATAAATATATTGAATCTCGATTATTTTTATTGCCTTCATCTCCTGTCCCCCCTCCTCTCCCTCCTTCTGCAGATCCCCTTCCCATTTCCAGAGTCTACCTCTATTTCCTCCCATCTTTTTTGTTTTGCTCTTTAAATTACATTAGAAAGACTGTGTAGGGGCTGGGGATTTAGCTCAGTGGCGTAAGCGCCTGCCTTGCAAGCAGTCAGTCATGAGTTCGATCCCTGGTACTGGTAAAAAGGAAAAAGACAAAAAAAAAAAAAAAGACTGTGTAATATTTAACCTGCGTCTGATGTATTTCACTTTTTAGTATTATGGTGGCAAGATCCATACATTTTTCTATACATGATTCAAAATTATGCTTCTTTGTGGCTGAGTAATATTCCATAGTGTATATACACTACATTTGCAGGGCTGGGGATTTAGCTCAGCAGCATAAGCAACTGCCTTGCAAGCAGGCACTTGTGAGTTCAATCCCCGGTACCGATAAAAAGAAAAATAGACAAAAATATATATATATATACACTACATTTGCTTTCTCCATTCATCTGCTGATTGGCAAAGGCCACTTCCATAATTTGGCTATTGTGAGTTGTGCTGCTATAAGCTATGCCCCTCTCATCTCCCCACCGGGCCTCATGGGGACATGGGGATTTCTCAGGTGGAACTGCCTTGCTTCCCTGCTGCCGAGTAGGTAAGGGCACAGAAGTGTCTGCCAGTGGCTCACCTCTTCCTTCCTGGTGTCCTTGGTACTCCAAATGACCTTCCAGCCTCAATTCCAGGCCCTTGACCACCTGACCACAGCACAGTATTCTCTAAGCCCGCATAGCTTCCTTTCTTGTCATTATTCTCTGTACAGTACAAATATTTAAATACGTAATGTAGAGATGGTTTAAAGTGTCTGAGCTCGTGTGTAGATTATATGCAGACACAGTGCCGTTCTGTATATGGGACCCGAGCGCGTGTGATGCTGAGATGCACAGGGTTCCTGGAACCGGTTCCTGCAGACACAGGGAAGGCTGCTCTCTTTGCTTTGCCATGCCCGTCACTTGTGTTGTCCTTTCTGCTCTGTCCCGTCCCTGGCTGCAGGTGGCAATGGCTACATCAATGACTTTCCCATGGGCCGCTTTCTTCGAGATGCCAAGCTATATGAGATCGGGGCTGGGACCAGCGAAGTGAGGCGACTGGTCATCGGCAGAGCCTTTAACGCAGATTTCCGTTAGCCAAGAAACCGTGTGCCTTTCTCCAGGAGCAGACGTGGGCGTGACAGCCCGCTGCACGCCTAAGGCGGCCCACAGCCCTTCTCTAGCCCTTGAGCCTCTCCAGGAGGTCGAGGTCTTCACACTGTGAACATCACGCCTCCCGGATGGGCCAACCAAGCAGGAGTGCTTTGAATAGACTCTGGCAGGAAGCATGGCCTTTCCTGGGGTTTTCAGAAAGCTTTGGTGATCATGCCTTGGCTCTGCAACCTTGGTCCTGACACTCTCCTCTTTCAGGAGTGGTGTCCACTCCTTTCTCTTGGTGGGGAGCCTTGCCCACTCAAGTAAAGCCCAGATCGATCCTCACCCTGCCTGCCAGTTCCTTGAGGCGTTCTCTCCCAGCATCTTCATCTTGGGACACCCAAGCCAGAACACGTGGTGGGGCAAAGGATGATGTGGCAGCACCTCGGAGCCTCCTCCACAACACTAATGGGTCCTGGCCTGATGACCTTCTGCAGCTGACCAGGAAGTGGGTGCAGGCCCTGGCAAGGCCTAGGTCTCCTGGCTCAACTCCAGCTGAGGCTGCCTCTGAACGTTTCTCTAGATGCCCTGTGGTTAATCATGTTACAGCTACACCATGGCAGCTGCCTTTTTTTATTAAACATATTGTGAAGAAACCCTTCTGCTCCTAAACCAGTGTTTGGAGAAGCACTCTACTTGTTCCTGACTGCCATCTAGAGCCAGTCTTGAGGATGGTTGGTCCAGGCGCTGCTGCTGGCCAGCAGCTTGCTCTTCAGTCATGGGACAACTGAGTAGACTCAGTTCTTGGGTCAGAGGAAGTCTCAGCCCCAGATCTCTCTGATTTCCTTTTTTCTGTTTTTATTTGTTTATTTTGCTTGGTTTCCCCCATACCAAGGATTTAGCAAAGGAAGAGCTGAGCTATATCCATATGTCTTTTTATTTTGAGACAGAGGCATGCTAAATTTCCAGTTGCACCTTGAATGTGTGAGTCCTCTGCCTCAGCCTTCTGAGCAGCTGAGACCATAGGCATGTACTACAATGTTTGATACCATTCCTGAGGTTTTACACAGATCAGGACAAGCTGGGCATAGTGGCATATGGCTGTAATCCCAGCACTCAGAGGGTGAAGCAGGAGTACAAGTTCAAGTTCTATCCTTGCTACAACTTACTGAGAACCTGTCTCTAAAAATTAAAAAAAAAAAAAAGACCAGGGATCCAGTTCAGTGTGAAGTTTAATCCCCAGTACAAAAAAAAAAAAAAAAAAAAAAAAGAAAGAAAGAAAGAAAGAAAGAAAAAACACCACAATTTGAGTCTCAACATCAGAACAAAAGCCGGGATTCAGATATGGCAGCAGCAAAAATGGACGTGCTCTGAGCACTCCAGTTGGGGTTCCAATGCACGGCATGCTAAGCCAGGCTTGTCTGAAAGGACCGGGGAGGGTTGCTGGACTCCCTAAGCTCCCAAGAGAGGAGCCGGCTTTCTTGACTCCCAGTCCAGCGGCACTTGTTCCCAGCTTTTAGGCCTGACGTACAGCCAAGTGCTGTTCACAGCCCGGCTCTGTGACAGGTGGAGTCAGCTCCTCACCACCCCCAGTGCTGCCCCACTATGAAGGGTAGGTCCAGAGCTCTTGGCTGTCCCTAAACAGCCCCATCCCACTCTATACTATGTTTGAATGCAGGTAAAATAGTGATCACCTCTAACATGCAGTTGGAACAAACCACCCACAAACACTCAAAATGTGCTAGAATTCCAGGTGTGGTCCTGTCAGTGTTGCTGGAGCCTTGCCTGTTTGGAGTGCGCCCTCCAGAAATGCATGTTGGAGTTTTGGTCCTGAGTCTTTTGTTGCTGGTATTTGGAGGAGACATCCTAATGGCATGGGTGGCTTTGGGGACATGATCTCCCACTTGCTGTGTCCTACGAGGCCTCCATCCAGTTATGATACAGCAGGGCCCTCACCAGACACTGTGCCTGCTTTTGGGCTTCTAGGCCCCAAGACCAAGCTCTGAAAATCTCTCCAAACTTCAGTCTGTAGTATTCAGTTACAGCAACAGGAAACAGACTAAGAGAGGAAGAATGCAATCATTCTGATCCTTATGTGAAGCACAAGACAATGTGCAAAAATGAAACCGAAACCACATGAACTATGCAATCCCAGTCACGTCTCTGGTAGAGATGAGTGCTCATTGCATCATGCACCGGTTACTTCCAGAGTTGTCCCTGCTTGTACTCTGCTTCCTGGACGGCCACACTGTCTGCCCTGGCGGGGGGCAGAAAGCTAACTGGACTGTCAAAGTGTGGTCCTGGGCAGGCCCCATGTCAAAATCCAGCAACCTATAAATAGAGACACCTAGATCCCAGCCCCAGACCTAACTGCTGCAGAAGGTGACACTGGACCTTCTCAACTCATCTAGGTCCTGGGGGGATGTCCCCAGAGGCCTCCATCCTAATTGTCACCCTCTATGTGGGGACAGCAACTCCTTTACCTATATGCCCAGCCCAAGTTTTCTTTTTTACACTTTAGCTGCTGGATTTTTGTGGCCACTGGCTGCAGGAAGCAAGTTTGGGGGTCGGAGGAGCTCGGAAGACAGCAACTGCTCAAGGTTCTCCAAACCAGGGGCCCAGGTGAGGGTGAGGTTCCAGAGTTGGGTGGGAACCGGGGAGCCAGCCACGCCCCCACGCCGGAGGTCCAGGGTGGAGCCAGAACCAGAAGGGTAGATACGGCCGCGGCGTGCGGGCTGGGCAGGCGTTCCCAGCCTGCGGCCTGCCTGATGGGAGTTGGAACCCGAGACTCGTGGTCATCAGTCCTGGTCTGCAGCTTAGGGCTGGTCCAGAGCCTGGCTGTCCCCTTCCCCCGCAAGGCGGTCCGCGTGCCGCAGGGCTCTGGAGTGGCTGCGGGGCGGCTCGGGCGCTGCATGGAGCTCGTCTGCCTCCTTCCGGCAGGCCGAGGAATCGCAGGCGCGCCGAGCCGGTCCCTTGCCACCTTTCCCCTGGGTGCTTTGAGTGTGCTGCTTCCAGTTAGGAAATTGAGGACACACGGGTCGGCCGTGTTTTGTTTTACTTACTAAATGAAGCCATGGAAGGGGGTCTTTATCATGATCATTATATACAAGAAAGATCACTTTTTTTAAGAGTAGGAAGATTTATTGGGCAATAGGAATGGGAAGCAGGAATAGTTCCTGAGAGAGGGGAGGGGTCCCAAATGGGTGGCCCAGAAATGCCACTTCTAGCAATTTAGAAGTAGAAAGGACATAACCTCAGAACAAAGACCAGTGTTGTGTTATTTTTAAATTTGGTATATGCTTTATTTGTACGTTTTGAAATACTGTAATCTTAAGACTTTTTGGTACTGGAAATTGAACCCAGGGCCTGTGCATGCTAGGGGAGTTCTTTATCACAGAGCTACACCTCCAGTCTAGGGTTTATTTAAAAACACAAGCAATAGCAAAAAAAATTCTATACCTGGAGACAGGTGTGGTGGCACACACCTGCAATCCCAGCACTGGAGAGGCTGAGACAGGAGGACTGCCATGAGTTCAGGGCCAGCCTGAACTAAATAGTGAGACTTTGTCTCAAAAAAAAAAAATTCTGTACTCTGTCCCTCTTACCCCCTCTCTTATTCCCAGGGCAAAACCACCTTTGAGTCTTTAAGGGGTTCCCTTGGATAACGAATCCTCTAAGTGATATGCTTACTTATTGATCAATTTAATTGAAGATATTTCTAAGAGGAATTCTTTAAAGTGCACACATTTGATTTATGACAATCTCATTACATACTCATACTTTTTTTTCTCTTTCTCAGACGCCCTGTTCACCTGCCAGCTTTTGGAAGCCCTGAAGGTCCAGTGTCCTGCTCAGATCCCTGGCTGGCCCCAGTTCTGACCATGTACACTAGTAGGTGGGGGGCTCCTCTCCCTGTGTGCCCCACCCCATTCTCTCTAGCAAAGAGGATTCTGGGAGGTGGCCACTGCTCCACTGGCCACTCCAGTACCCGCTGCTCTCCCACCCTCCATCAGAGGCCAGGCTGGAGTCTCTTAGCTAACCCCTGGATCCCCATAAGAACTTGCCAGCTTGCTTCCCTTCTTCCTGTCCACACCCTGCAACCTTTATGCTAACCCAGAGAGAGTTACCAAGCTTCCCCCAAACCTTCAGGGAACCCCAGTACCTCTAAGATAGAGTTTTTAGCTGGTTTTGAGCACAAGCCTGGCTACTGAGGAAGCTAAAGCAGGAGGAGAGCTGAGCCCAGGAATCCAAGGATAGCCTGGGCAACGCAGCAAGAACCCATCTGGAAGGAAGGAAGGCAGGAAAAGGAAAGCGGAAGGGAGAGGGAGGGAGGAAATAAAAAGAAACTAAAGTTTTGCAAGGCAAATATGACTGTGATGCACCTTGACCTCCTCCTGCTCAGCTACCTTTCTCCTGCTAAGGCCGAGTTCTTAGTGCCAATCATCCCCTCCTGGCCATAGCGCCAACCCCAGAGCCTTTGTCCCACTGGACCCTGTGCCCAGGAGGCCCTTCCAAGCTGTACCCTGCGCTCTTGCTTCCTCGTCCCTGAAGCCTCCCTCCTTTAGGAAGGGCAGACCTCTCCTGCCCAGCTCGTCCCCAGCCTCAGCCCCCACAGCACAGTCCTGGCTGGGCTGCCCCTCCTCCTTCCTTGTGCCCTGCACCGACAGATTCACACACAGGTGCAAGTGTGGTACGTGCATCTATTTCCCCTGCCATAGGTCATGATCTTGAGGGGGAGGGACAGTGTCATGTCCCTGTCTGTATGTGACCAGAACCCCATAATCCCTGACTTATGGTAGGTGCTCAAACCCTTCATGTGCTCTTTGAGTAGTATATGGCTCACATTTTACTGGCGCCATGGTTATTTGTGTATGCTTTTCACCTCTAGTGTATCTAAGATCTTCGAGGTTGAAAAATCACCTCTTACATCTCTTAACCGAGCAAGCAGCACCCACTATCGGAAGCAAGGGCTCCAGGACTCTTCATATTAAATGAGTGAAACAACAGGTGGGCCGGAGACTCAGTCTAATCCTAGTGCTGGCACAGATAGCTGGGCAGCCAGCTTCGGCTGGCCCTGCACTCCCTGCCCTTTCACCCCAAAGTGCCAGGGCCCAGCTGCAGAAAGGCATACTCCGGAGGGACCCGGCCCTCCTCTGCCAGCTGGAGACAGGATGGGGAATGGATAGAAAAGGAGGCAGAGTAGGGCCACATACTCTCTTTTTTTTCCTTCTGTTAAATGTGTGACATACGAGGAAGTGTATGTAATGTGCATACGTGACTTTGAAAGGAATAAAACACCTGGGTTGCTGGGTGTAATGATATATACCTGTAATCCCAGAGCTCTGAGGGCTGAGGCGGGAGAGTCTCACCAAGAATTCAAGACCAGGGGCTGGGGATTTAGCTCAGTGGCATAAGCGTCTGCCTTGCAAGCAGGCAGTCATGAGTTCGATCCCTGGTACCGATAAAAAGAAAAAAGACCAAATAAATAAATAAAAGAATTCGAGACCAGCCTGGGCCGCATAGTGAGTGAGACTCTGTTTCAAACAAACAGGAAAACTGAAACCTCCAGTGTGCTGAGCATCCTGGTCATCGAAGAGAACATTTCAAGTGCCCCGAAGCCCCTGTGCCCTTCTGTGTGTTTTGGTACAGCGGCTGG